CCATCCTGGTTTGGAAAAAATCCGTAAAAATTGTTGTTTCTCCTCTTGATGGTAGCCGCAGACCCACCTCCTGTCATTAGCTATGATAGATTTTACTTCTCTGGGTAGTAGGGCTGAATCCCAATAGCCGAACAGCCAACTATTCGTTCGCTGTGCTGGAATCAAGATATCAATTTTAATCTCTGAATATTCCCCCCGCCACCACCACCACTGCTGCTGATAACAGATACAGTACGGTGACTGTTGATGGCGGAAACGCCCGTTCACTGCTGCCCCGTCGGACCGAATGCCCAGCGCCCAGCACCCCCTGCCATGGCTGCTAACCTAAACACCTAACCGGAACGAATACCCACCACCACGCGGCACCCCCAAATATTCAGGATATTCGTCATTAATTGGGGCCGAATATGCGGAGATCAGAAATTGCTATTCGGACCAGCCCTACCGGGTGTATAAACTAAAGTACTGGATAGATTTGGCTAGATTAGAGTCAGATATAACCAAAGATGGTACATTTAATGTTGTATGTCATGACACTGAATCCATTCGTTGTTGAGACATCTCAACTTCACAACCTCAAGAGATCACATGGATCGAATCCGTTGAGCAAATGTTGAGATAATTTACCAACACAGTGAAAATTCTGTCTCTTATCATCTGAACGTGCCAGATTTTGTCGTATTCAATCCAACACATACTCTTTATTATCCCAATGACACGTTTGTTTTCACAAGTCTATCCACACCAAACATACAGACAAACAGGCCACCACGGGATCGGTGCTGTCGAGCTGTTTCGTTTAGACGCAGATGGAACTGAACTTAGGCCAAAACGAGCTTTCTCTCCATCTTTAAGTCCATTATGTGCAGCAGCAGCAGAGTTGAAACGGACTCAGGTTGTGATCGGTGAGACTCGCCATCGCTTCACTGAGACGCTCGGTGACTCCGTCGTTTGGATTTTGGCAGTGGGGGAGGCTGAGCGTTTCGGAGGCGGTGTGTGATCTCGGTGAGTTTGTTTTTGTTGGAGATGGTTAGCATTGTGAAAAAAAACAACAAAACACACACACACAAAAAAAAAAAACAGGGGAGACAGTACAACAGGATGGGTGGAATTATGCTTTTACAAAGCAACAGCAGAAGGTGGGTGGCAACAGACGGAGCTCGGTTTGGGTATCACATGGAGCCTTCGCTGCGAATGTCTCTGGACGGCGGTGCTCATCGACGGGCCGTTCACTGATTGTGTGTTTGAGGCTGCTGACCTGTCCGGCTGACTGGACAAGGACGGAGGTCTGGTTCAGTCTGGGATGGGAGGCGTCTGATGTATGAATGAGCAGAGCTTTTTCAATTGAAGGTAGTTGTCAGAAACGGAGACTTTAACTGATACTGTGGCTGAGTGGTGCCCTTTAGCGTTTGTAGATGTGGTGGATGCAGATTTCTGGGTTAGAAGGTGTCCAGAATGGGAGGGCCTTCAATGTTGGTGATGTTTGATAGTGTTACTGGTGTCTGACGCTAAGAAAATTGTAAATTTGGTGGATGAGGATCAGAACTTTGGACCACAAATCTGTCTAAAGATGGTTACACGAGTCTCCCTGACTTCTGTCCAGGTAGATAAAACGAGTCACTTTAAACTTCTGTATGTCGACAACTGAGTGGAGACTAGAAGCTTCTTTGTGTTCAGCCACCTGTAAGCATCTACTGATGCATGCGAGACGTTTAGGGAACGTTTGTCACTTGTAGAATCTGCTAGTGGTTGGTATTTTTTTGGTCATGTTTCGTCATTTTATTGTTTCCCCACATTGCTGATCAACAACAGTCTGATATGTTGTACAAGCTCAGTCTTGCATGTATTCCTGGTATTTGTCGATGCCTTTATGGAGTACAAAGTGAGTCTTTATGGGTGTTTTGACGCCCTTGTCCATTGTGTTAGCGGCGTCCCACTTGATATGCCAGCTGCGTCTGAGCAAAATTACACCGGGTGTCGGGTCACTTCTGGTTTTTCAGGGGAGCCGTGGGGGTCAGCAGATTGTTTTATTTGGGAGGAGTCGGTCAGCAGCCCCCCCGGTAATCATGACTGCACTCTTGACCAGTCAGTAATAAACCCGCCATGTGTTCCCCGGGGTTTTAAATAAGTAAAACGAATGAAATCCAGCGGTAGTTCCAGCACATCCTCAGCCGGTTTCTCCCGCGCGAGAGGAGCCGAAGCGGTGGGTTTTTCATCATTCGTTATTGTCGGGATGAGCCGAGATCCCCTCCGAGCGATCGAGGTGTGTCTCTTCGTATTTTTATTAAAAACCGTGCGTGCGGGCTAAATTACGTGCTCGCGAATCCTGAGCCTTGGGTGGATCGTATCGGAGGAGGAGTCAGCAAAGAAGACGGATGCAAAAGTTGCCTGGCTGCGAAGTTGTTGAGACGTTTTCCAAAAAAAAAAAAAAAGAAAGAAAGAACAACACGAAAAACTTTAAATGTCAACCTCCAGCAGAGAAAAGAAAGTAGGTGTTCCACTAAATCAGTAGGAATCATCCATTTATTCCTCCTCTGAGCCGTACTGCTTAGTCTGCAGTCGGAAAAAAAAAAAAAAACACCCATGCCTGTGAGATTTTATTTTTTCTCTCCCTTTCCCCTCATATCTGCCGAATGTGGGAAGGGGCATCCCCGCTGAAATATACAGTAGACATGAAAGGATAAATGGCTAAATGAAAGTCTCCAAGATGAGAAGCATTAAATTCATTCCGCAAACAAGCGCAAACAAGAGCGAAGAGAACTCCGCAGCCAATCACTTACCTCTCCCGCTATCCCCTCTGTCTCTGATGTTCATCATTTTCTTTTCTTTCATCTTGCCTTTCCCTCGTACAGCTTTTGATCCCCCCTCGTACTTCCCCGGCCCACGTCTACTTTCACTGCAGCCATTTTTTAATATATATATATCTTTTTTTTCCCACTCCCCTCCCTCTTGCACTCGTTCTATCTCCTTTCTCTGGTTGTCTGCTCTTTTGTAACAGTCGGCGTAATGGTTCAAATGTCAAGGAAAGGAAAGAAATAAAAAATAAAAAACCCCTTCCCTTCTCCCCCCGTCGGTTTCGCCATCGAGGCCTTTGATCAGTTTGTTACCGGAGCTTGTGATCGTGCCTCCACTCTGCGGCGCCGTCCCCAGCAAGTGCATTAGTGATTGTCGCTGCTAATTGCTAGCTCCTCGAGACTTCCCTTTGCCTTGGTAAAAGAGCTGTGGGTGGCGGGCTAACTGGTAGCTCCTTGTCAGACTTTTTGTCCCAGTAGGTAGCCACTGAGCTGAGAGAAAGTCTCCTTGTTCAATAATTCTGCTTGGTAAAACACCAGCGCTGCTTTTCTTCAGGCCGGTAATGAACGCGACTGTTCAGGATTGTCGCACTAGAGGGAGCAGGCAGCCGCCTTACGTCATCTCATGGGATGTTAACAAAACTGAGGCGGTGGTGCAACAACTCGTGAAGCTACAGACTGTTTCCATCATCAACCAATGATCGAATCATAGCTACCTCAAAGTGCTGTAGATGTTTCCGCATGTGCCAACAACTGCTGTCGATGTAGAATTCAGAAGCCCTTAACAACCACAGAAGACTTTGTAAAGGTGCCCGATGCTAGTTAAACCGCCACAATGCTATAATCGGAGCAACCAACTCCAATGGTAGCTAAACTATTAAACGAAGAAACAGTAACAGTGAGAGGCTCCACCTGGTGGCGCAACCAGGTACTACAGCTGATGCACGATACTTTATCTGACATGCATTACCTTTGTTTTTTGCCTTATCACTTATAATACTTTTAATTGGTTAAAATGGTTACTGGAACGTAACTGATTAACAATTGATCATCCACAAAACAACAACAACAAAAAATGCTAGGAGGAGACAACCCAAACCCTGACTTTCAATGGTGAACGTGAACTTGAGGCCACTTTTATTACACACAACTAATTTCAATGCACCTGTTTCAATGAACACCAACAAAGAGACTTCACGACTCAATGGGGGCTGTTTGATTAACGCTTCATCATTAACATCGCTAATCGTACTTTCCAGTGTGGAATAGAGCAAAAGCAGGAGACTAAATAAGTCTGAATAGGAAAATGATTGGGAAGAAGACGTTAACGGGGATTGTTTAATCTTCAGCGATAAGTGGAGATGAGATTTTAGCCACCGGTTAGCCAAAAGTACCAGAAAGTGCAAAAATGTGCAGAGTGTCGACTGCAAACAGTGGCCGCCGCATCACGGGCAACACCAAAAACCCTCAACACCAAAACCACCCAAGGGGAAACAAGACCTTAAGAATCCTGAATCTATGGGAGAGTTTTGCATAGAAGAAGGAAAACCACTTTAGAAACTTTATGTTGGGAGAAGTCACCAAACTTTTTTGTCAGATCTGACTGGTGATTCTATAAATGCCATTTTAATGCTCCACCTTCCTGTAACATTGAAATACTATCATCTGAGAGGTTGTTTAGGCTGCTAATATTACCATTTGTTAGTTTTTTTAGCTCTGTTTTGGTCTTCACTGCCCCCTGACAACGTTATCTAGCTGCTCTTTAGCTGCTAAATGCTCTACTGTAGTCAGTTGTCTGTTGTTTATTGGTGTGTAATGTTAGAAAAGTTGTTTTTTGTTTGCTAACACCTGGAAACGATGCTGATGAGTGCGTCATTGTGGGCCGTAAAGCCAAAACAATGAGCCAAAAGAGGCTTAAAAGCAACCAGAAGCTACATCACATTAAAAGTAGTCATGTCATCGACTGTTGATTAAAAAAATATTGATAGGAGAAGGTTTAATATGTTTTTTATAGGGGTCTTTAAAATTTGGTGTGCAGGATTTTATTTTCTCTTTACAGTGAAATCCCTGGTTCTGGTGTTTTGATCTCGTTTGCATTAAATCCTCAGAATGAGACAAAGAAACCTCCTGAGGAAGATTTAAAACCCACCGTGGATGGAACAGTTTTACTCACCGGTTGCATTGTGTTTTTTTCCTCCTCCTCTGCAGGTACGTTTATACCCTCTGCCCGTTCAATCAAGTCACACAAAAGAACACGGCGGGAACAGAGGTGTCATTAGGGTAAGTACCTCAATCACTGTCTCTATTGTCGCCACAGTTAAAAATCCCCAATCAATGACCAGCCGGCACGTCGGGGACGGAGAGCGAACAGGAATAGAGTCTTTGTGATGCCGTGTGAATGTCATCAGCTGTGACATCTACAGTTCAGAACCATGGTTTCTGCAATTTATGCTGTTTTTCTCTGAATCCGAAGCCAGGAAAGTGTTTTTTTTCTTCTCTTATTTATACCAATTCCATAAATTAATTGATTAATTTTCGCGATCGGACCCGAAACAAATCCCACGACTGCCCTCCGACGAGAGCTCTTTAATCATCGTTACAGTCGCTCGCACGGGAATATTTGCGCTATCGATTCCTCCCTCTCTCTCTCTCTCTGTTTTTTTTATTTTTTTTATTGTTATTCAATCTCTGTTAGCGTCACGTGACCTTTAATCAGCCGCTAACGGATCTTTGTTTTTAGTTTTAATACCTTTTGATCGATGACAAATGGGCCGAGTTTCCTGCAGCGCCGCCGCCGTATTTCCTCGGCCTCCAAGGATTTCAATTTCATCAAAAGGTTTACGCGCCGGTCTTTTTATGGCGCCCTTGGGACCGGCTGTGTTGTGGAGGGGTGTATCAAAAACGCCGATGAAAGATGCCACCGTAGAAATGCACCTTCAGATGTTAGAAGTTGTTGTTTTTTAAAAATAAGCGCCACAAACCAGCGAACACGAGGAACTTTCTTTGTTCAAAACTGTTTTTTTCTTCGCTGTAACAGCTATAGAAGAAAAAACAGCCCTCCTATACATATGATATTGATGTTTTCCTTCCCTTTCTTCTGCTTCTTTTTTCTCGTCTTGTGAGTTTTAGATGTGAGGTGATAATTATGGGATGTCACCTCACTGTCCTTTTCCCACTCTCTCATTAGCCTTAACCGTCAGTCACCCGACACTTTTATAGGGTGCAATTATGGAAATGCTATTCCATCGACATTGACACCTCTCCGGGAAGAAGAAGAAAAAAAAAAGAAGAAGAAGCTTTTATGATTCGGCTCCTCCCCCGAAGAGGAGGACTCGACCGGCCGGGCTGCTTCGGACGACATAAAGGCCTAAATGACCGCCGAGGAGAAGAAAAATCCGCGACGCCGTGTCAGAACATTTAGCCTCCCGCGAGATGCGACGTCATTAAGCTCGAGCGAGACGTTGCAGATAATTTATTCGCAATTATCCCTCTCTGCAAATATTGTCTTTGCCTCTTCAGACGGCGAATTAATTGGAGAAAACCTAAAGCGAGGCTCGTGTTCTCCTCTTGCACCGCCGCCTCCCACACTACCTACTCGCTGTTGGAGCGGAAAGTGCAAACGCTTCACCATGTTTTTTTAGCGCAGGAAAGGGAGACGAAGAAGAAGAACAGAATGCTAGCTGTGAGTAATGCGACCCCGGGGCTTCTGCCTGCCTGTCACTCACTGATGGTATGGAAGGGCAGAAGGACCAAACAGAACCAGTGGTCAGACGAGAAAATCTCTGCCAAACGGGACTCGAGGGATGAGGCTTCGACGTATATTTATTTTGCAGCAGCAGCAGCAGTGCAGAAAGAAGAAGACTCAAACAATGATTTTTTTTTTTTTTTCGTTCATCTCGGCAAATGAAGAGAAAACGCAGCGAGTTTGATGTTTTCCAAACGCCTCATTGGTATTTTGTGGGCGTAGGCAGCCAGTGCAGCACTATATGATGTACTATAGTGTTTCCAGGGAGCGTGTAGTGGAGGTATACGTGGAGGGGAGGAGGGGGAGCCACATGAATCATAGCTCGCGTGGTGGGTATAAAGTTCATTTTTTATCCAGACAGACCATCAGTCAGGCCTTGCAGGATGTGGCTGGGCCTCCTGATATCAATCTGCATGGCGGCATCCTCTTTCTCCCCAGAGGAGCGAGGCGGGAGAGGGGAGTGCTTTGATTTAAACGGCAGCATTTATCACACCTGCTCCGGCATCCTAAAGGACAGCCATGTGAGAAGGAGGAGAGGGGATGTGTGGGGAAAACAGCATTAACATGAGTGTCCTGTCAGGCGGAGGTGTGAAGCCGGCGTCGCCAACTCGCGCCCCGGTTTGACTAATTTGGATTTCCTCAGCTAGCTTTTGCTGAGGGCCGGTGTGTTTGAGGAGGACCCTAACCTTCCTTCATGCTCGGTTTTGCAGCCGAGTTGGACCATTAAGCGTACAGATGTCCTGAAGGAACGATGAATCAACGCGGGGACGCTTTCTGTTGTTGCTGTTTGCTCTCACACGTCGCCATAAAGATTTCATAAGGCGTAGCAGTCATACTGCATGCTCCCAATTATCTGTAAATGTAGATATTATACAACACGTATTCACTCCTTGAATTCCAATATCTCTGTTTTCCATTTAGCTTTCCTGCCTTTCGGCCTCAGCAGCTCAACCACTTCCTGAAATGGCTGCTGTAACAATAACATCAGCCATGATAATGATAATAGAGTAGGGGAAAATGCTTGCATTGCGACAAACACCGTCCCACCGTGACAGCGTCGTCCATCTTCATAATGTCCCTCCGCTCGGCCCACCCTCCCTCTCCGAAGGCGCACACGTGCAATGACAGGACGGCGAATGCAGGCTTTGCTAAACGTACCTGAGAAGACAAACAGATAGGAAGTGAGTCGATGCGCTCTCACATGAGCTTATGCGACGCTGAAAGCATTGATTTTGCACTTTGCTCTGTGACCGATCGGGATATTGATCAGCTATTGTCACCAGCGTGTCATCATAATGTCCAACAAGACGACGTCGGTGTTGAGATGAATGAAGTGTTCTGGACACAATACCACATACAGATATTCACCCCCAGGTTTACTGTCCTAGTGGCCTCCTGCTAGTCTTTGTCATGGTGCCCGTTGCTAGCTAAACTCACACAAAATATACTCCTATAGTCCGAGTGACCACCTTCTCTGGTCGCTACAGTGTCAAACAGTAAGAGGCTCCACCTGGTGGAACAACCAGGTACTACAACTGATCTATAGGACATTTTCTAACATGCATGCACTTCATCTTATGAGATAATATACTTTTAATTGGTTAAATATTAAGAGAAATGGATCTATTGGGGATAAGTCATTAACTTCCTGAGTAGGGACACACATTTTAAGCAATTTTCTTTTTTAACTTATAGCTGGCTTCGCTTTCATTTAATAAAATTAAAACAAACGCAGTACCATGTGCTGACTATGCAGTTTTAAAGCATAGAATACCAACATAAAGTGGTTCAGTTACATTAATTGCCTAGCTTTAGGAACTATAATCGTGAGCTCTGGCTGGAAGCCATTAAGCGCCAAATAAGTCTTTGTCATGGTGCCCGTTGCTAGCTAAACCCTCCTTTCTTTCTTACAGACCTACAATATTTTTAGTCTTTCTGGACTGAATGACTGCATGTCTCGGCTCTAACCGGACTCCAGGATTTTAAGTTATTCTGTAGTAGAGTTATGTTAATGTCTAAGTTCGTGGTTAAATTATTATAATGCATCCTGAGCAGCAGGTCTGAGGTTGGGTGTGGTGGCTTTGCCCATCGTCAGCTGGTGCCACCAAAGTCCTGGATGTTTACAAAAATCAGCAAAGATTGGGTGGAACTGAGGCGAGTCGTTGAACTGTCACTCAAAGCAGCCACGACAATTTAGGCAAACACCATTTACATAAAAATTCTCCTTCTGCAGAGTTTTCAAAAATAGTGAAATTAGCTGTAGAGACCAAATGTGTTCCTCTGCCAGGCTGTAAACATGTTTGTTTCTGCTGTGACATTTTAACATGGAGGTCTGCGGGGACCGACTCACCTCTGGAGGCGGCCTCAAGTGGCCGTCAGAGGAAGTGCACTTTGTGGCATTTTCCGCGCCGGCTTGATTATTCAGCCCTGGAGGTTGCCGCTTGTGCATCACCCAACTTGCACCCAGCTTCATGTGGCAGACAGCCGCTTTGACATTACTCCGTTAGATAACTCGATAAACCTGGGAATTCACTTCTCCCTTGATGATGACAAGCAGTTCGGGCCCAGAGGCGGCGAATCAGCCCCAAATCATCACCCTCCCTCCCTGCACCGCGCTCCACCTCTGGGACGGAGGTTTTTCATGTTGGTATGCGGCGCCGCATGTTCTTCCTAAGCCGAGCTTAGTTTCGTCAGTTCAAACCGTTCTCCTGCAGTGATGCGGAGCGTCAGGGCGCTTTTTTTTTTTTGGCAAACTTCAGATTTTTTTTGTTTTGTTTTGGGAGCCTCCTTTGCCACGGATGATCCATGCAACCGTACGCCATGGTTTGCATGGACGTGCACTTCATTTCCTGCATTTCGGTGAACTTTCATGCCGGATTTTTTGGTGGAAGCATCTCCACCAGGAGTCTCCACCTATGAGCAGACTCACGAACAGAGATGTTAATCAGCTCCAATGAGTCCTTTTGGGTTTCTTTTCCACCTCGTTGAGAATTCTGCGCTGTGCTTTTGGAGTCGTCTTCTACGGAGAGACGCTACGGCGCCAAACTCGCTCGCTTATTCTCGAACTGAGCGCTGATGAATATCAAACATAAGTCTTTGAGATCGCTGCGAAGCCCTCTCCAGCTTTATGCAAATCAGCAGTTCTTGATCAGAAGTCTTCTGGGCTCTCTGGGTTTGTTATTTGACGAGGCACGGCTCACATCAGTGTTTTGTGTTTGTCAAAGTAACCCCGGCCCACACCTTCGATCCTGTCTCATTGATCCGACTCCAGGTTTACCGACTCCTGACTCTACTTAATTTTTGTTGATGTCGTTAGCCTGAGGGGTTCACAGAGTTTTTTTTTCTCCCAACCTACACTAGAAATGCTTGATAGATGCGAACAAGAATGTGTGTTATTAGATCTTTCATAACATTTGGACATATTTTATGACAGATTTACATATAAATGCAGATGATTTCTGGCTTTTTCTTGCCAGTGAGCGAAGCCTTGAAGGAAGCCTTAAGAAGCGGTCCGGCGTTCTGGGAAGAACATTTA